ATTTACAGAGAGATGCTGTCGGACAGCAATGTCGTCTCATGGATGAGATATCGACTGGGTTGGACAGCTCAACGACGTTCCAGATTGTAAATTCATTGGGGCAATACGTTCACATTCTTAATGGAACTGCTGTCATCTCTCTACTCCACCCAGCACCTGAAACCTATGATCTTTTCGATGACATTATATTGATTTCTGATGGTCAGATTGTATACCAGGGTCCTCGCGAATACGTGCTGGAATTCTTCAAATCCATGGGATTTGAATGTCCTGCAAGGAAAGGCGTTGCTGATTTCTTGCAAGAAGTAAGTCTTGACACAGCCATTGCTAATGTATTCTTACCGGTGAGTAATAGTAGATTCTAATTTGCAGGTGACATCGAGGAAAGATCAGATGCAATATTGGGCACGCAGAGATGAACCTTACAGGTTTATCACTGTCACTGAGTTTGTCGAGGCATTCCAATTGTTCCATGTGGGACAGAGACTTGGAGATGAGCTTGGAACTCCATTTGACAGTGCTAAAAATCACCCAGCTGCTTTGACAACTGAAAAGTATGGTGTCAACAAGAAAGAATTGGTTAAAGCTAGCTTCTCCAGAGAATACTTGCTGATGAAGAGAAACTCCTTTGTTTATATCTTTAAGTTCATCCAAGTGAGTACTAATTGCAATTGAGGAGTCTCAAATCATTTTTCTTTAAATTCTTTTTCTTTTTTAGATTTGATTGATGTAATTCTGTTTCTGTTGATAGCTTTCAGTAATGGCAATAATCACAATGACACTGTTTCCACGGACTAAGATGCACAAGCATTCGATAATCGATGGAGGAATCTATACAGGTGCCTTGTTCTTCGCTGTGAATATGATAATGTTTAATGGAATATCTGAGCTTTCAATGACCATAGCAAAGCTTCCTGTGTTCTACAAGCAACGAGACCTCCTCTTCTATCCAGCATGGTCATATGCTCTTCCTCAATGGATTCTGAAAATCCCAATTATGTTCATAGAAGTTGGGCTCTGGGTTTTCTTCACCTATTATGTCATTGGATTTGATCCTAATGCAGGAAGGTAAACAACTAAAGAACAAACCTTTGTTCCACACTAATCTATATATGTTTGTGTTAATATAACATATATTTTCGTTAAAAGTCTGTGTTATAATGGGTGTGTATGTACAATTTAATTAATTAAATGTATGAATTTCGACTAAAAAAGGTCTTGAGTTGACACTTTTTTTTACAGGTTGTTTAAGCAGTTCTTTCTCCTCTTCCTTGTCAACCAAATGGCTTCTGCATTGTTCAGATCAATTGCAGCTACAGGAAGAACCTTGGTTGTTGCTAATACATTTGGCTCATTGGCTCTCCTCATACTTTTTGCATTGGGTGGTGTTGTTTTATCTCATGGTATATATATATGTATCTATAAAATAAATTGAAGTTTGCTCTAAGTGATTTTTAACCATGGTTGAAAAATTCAATTAGCAGAATGGTAATCATAAATTTAAACTGTGCAGATAGTGTTAAAAAATGGTGGTTATGGGGTTACTGGACATCACCTATGATGTATGCACAAAATGCCATTATGGTTAATGAGTTCCTTGGAAATAGCTGGAGACATGTATGTAAAGCATTTTTGACAAGAACTTGTGTTCAAATTTTGATCATATTAATTGTCACTTCTTTTTTTTCTTCTAATTTTCTTGAATCATGGCCAGCTTCTTCCTCATTCCAACGTATCGTTGGGAGTTGCAGTGCTCAAGTCCCGTGGATTCTTCCCACATGCATATTGGTATTGGTTGGGAGCCGGAGCACTATTTGGATTCGTATTATTATTCAACTTTTGGTTCATTTTGGCTCTCACTTTCCTAAACCGTATGCATCATATCTTCAACTCCTATACATTTTACCTTTCGAAACTATGTTTTCTTTTGAGACAGAGGTCGGGGTAGGACTAAAACTCAATATCTCAACTCTCATATAAAAGTAGTATGTTATTTGAGCTAAATACTCTTGGTTTAGAAATTATGTTTTATTATCTTGGGAAAAATGATTTTACAGCGGTTGGGAAGCATCAGGCTATTATGGCAGAGGAATCTGAAACTACTGAACATGATAACATAACAGGAGGATCACATGGAACTCTCCAGAGCAATACAGGTAAAAGAAAAAAAACAAGGAAAAAAGGAAAAACTCCTTGGACAATTCATGAGACAAACTTTCATTATGATGGTAATTGAATGGGCATGCAGAGGGAGGAGATGAGAGCATTAGGAGAAGAATGGAAATAGGTTCTCAGTCACAAGGTAACATGAAGAAGGGAATGGTGCTTCCATTTGTGCCACATTCTATTACCTTTGATGAAATTACATACTCCGTTGACATGCCCCAGGTAAATCAAATGAACCATCAGCAATATAAATTATTAACCTATAGAGATCGAGTATATTGAACTAGTTGAAAAATGAGCTTCACAGGAAATGAAAGCTCAGGGTGTTGAAGGAGATAGATTGGTCCTGTTGAAGGGTGTTAGTGGTGCATTCAGGCCAGGCATTCTGACGGCTCTGATGGGTGTTAGTGGTGCCGGAAAAACCACTTTAATGGATGTTTTGGCAGGGAGGAAAACTGGTGGATATATAGACGGGAACATAACAGTTTCAGGCTATCCCAAAAAGCAAGAAACATTTGCTCGAATATTCGGGTATTGTGAACAGAATGATATTCACTCTCCTAATCTCACTGTCTCCGAGTCCTTGGTCTACTCAGCCTGGCTTCGATTAAACTCTGATATTGATGCTGAAACCAGAAAGGTTAAAAATCGTCAACTCTCTGATGGTTTTTGACGAGTTTTTTCCAATAAGTTTCAGACAAACTTATTTGGAGCATCATCAACCTGTTGCTTTTATTGTCATTGCAGAGATTTGTTGAACAAGTGATGGAGCTAGTGGAACTTAACCCACTAAGGAAAGCACTTGTCGGGTTGCCCGGCATAAGTGGCTTGTCAACAGAACAGCGTAAGAGGGTCACGATTGCGGTAGAGTTAGTGGCAAATCCATCTGTAATCTTCATGGATGAGCCAACTTCAGGGCTTGATGCAAGAGCTGCTGCAGTAGTTATGCGGACCGTTAGGAACACTGTGGACACAGGAAGAACAGTTGTTTGCACCATCCACCAGCCAAGCATTGATATTTTCGAAGCTTTTGACGAGGTGAGGACTTGTAGTGTCAATTTTGTTGGATTAATCTAGTCTAAAACTTTCATGTTTTGTATTTTAATTGTAGCTATTCCTATTGAGAAGAGGAGGGCAAGAGATCTATTTTGGGCCTCTGGGTCAAAATTCTTCTCATCTAATCAAGTATTTTGAGGTATTGTAAATACATACAGTCAAGATCACAGACACCATAAATTCTATTTCAGATTCTTCTTAAATCCTTTTTCTCTTCAATGAGAGAAATTCAAGGAATAAGTAAAATTAAAGATGGGTATAATCCAGCAACATGGATGTTGGAAGTTACAACTACTGCTCAAGAAATGGCTTTGAATGTTGATTTCAATGAAATGTACAGAAATTCAGAACTCTACAGGTAGTTAAGCTAAATTTCGCTGCTCTTACACACATAGAATCTTTTTGCATGTTGATTTGAGTAGTACAAAAACTATTTTCAGGGGAAACAAAGCACTGATCCAAGATCTAAGCACACCTGCTCTTGGTTCAAGAGAACTCTACTTTCCCACCCACTACTCACAGCCATTTCTAATCCAATGTGCTGCTTGTTTATGGAAACAACACTGGTCGTATTGGCGGAATCCATCTTACACTGCAGTTCGATTTCTCTTCACAGTTGGCATAGCCTTGTTGTTTGGTTCTATGTTCTGGAATCTTGGGACTAAAATGTAAGTAGGAAAGTAAAACCAGTTTTTGGTTTCCTAATGTTGTTTTCTCAGACGCCTTGTTTGGTTTCTGACAATTTAGGAACAAGCAACTGGATTTGTTGAATGCAGTGGGTTCAATGTATGCTGCTGTTCTCTTCCTTGGTGTCCAGAATGCCTCGTCTGTGCAGCCTGTTGTCGATATAGAGAGGACTGTGTTTTATAGAGAAAGAGCTACTGGAATGTATTCGGCAATGCCATACGCCTTTGCACAAGTAAATTAATCATCTTCAAAGTCTTTTTAATAAAAATTTATATATTTCAATAATTGTATGACATAATCAACCTTAACGAATAAACAACATAATCAACTTCTTAACAAAAAAATAACACAATCAACCTTTTAACGAGAATACGCATAAGAGTACAATCCGACTCTATTCACATCTAATAGAAAATATTAGAAATATTAAACATTCAATTAAGGGATGAGTGATAATTTATGATCTACATATTACACAAACTTGCATGAAAACAACTTAATCAATAACGATTTAATTGATAGATACGTACATTTATATTTGGGTTCAGGTTCTAATTGAAGTCCCCTACATCTTGGTTCAAGTTGTGGTATATGGTGTGATAGTTTATGCCATGATTCAATTTGAATGGACAGCTGCCAAGTTCTTCTGGTACCTGTTCTTCATGTTCTTCACCTTATTCTACTTCACATTGTATGGCATGATGGCTGTGGCTATCACCCCAAATTTCCACATTGCATCCGTCATTTCTTCTGGTTTTTATGGAATATGGAATCTGTTTTCAGGATTCATAATACCGCGACCTGTAAGTTATCATTTTCTTTTCCTTTGTTTTTATATTTGATTTATTTCAAATATTTGATCTATAATTTTCTCCTAAAACCTCTAAAAAGAAGTGTATGAATATATATGTTATATATATAACAGCGAATCCCGGGATGGTGGAGATGGTACTACTGGGTGTGTCCGGTATCTTGGACGTTGTATGGATTGATTGCATCACAATTTGGAGATATAAAGAAGGAGATAGAGACAGGGGAAACAGTGGAGGAGTTCTTGAGAAGTTACTTTGGAATCAGGCATGATTTTGTCGGAGAAAGTGCAGTAGTAATTGTTGCCTTTCCAGTACTCTTTGCTTTCATCTTTGCCTTCTCCGTAAAATCCTTTAATTTTCAGAAGAGATAATCTTTTGTAATGTTCAAACGACCATCTTATGTAATAACCCAAGCACAATAAATGAGGAGTATCACTTTTATCTCATATAAAGGAAAGGTATTAAGATTATTTAATAATTAGATTAGATAAAATTAGTATGTAAAAATTAGAACATTTTTCTCCATTGTCCTCTTTCTTCTCCTTTCCAACATCGTATCAGAGCACCTTTTTTAATCAAACAATTTTTTAACTCAGTGATTGAGCTTCAAACTTTAAATCTTCAATGGCTAGAAAACAATCAGATGATTTCCAAAACCCCTTCTTCCTTCACAGTGCCGACCATCCTGGATTGGTCTTGGTATCCAACCTCTTCAATGGCAACAATTACAACACATGGGAGAGAGCAATCAAAATAGCATTGAACGCCAAAAATAAATTGGGGTTTTATAGACAGAACCTACGATCAACCGAGCAACACCGATTCCACTGCCGGAGCTCGGTCGCGTTGCAATAGCATGGTAACTTCTTGGTTGTTGAATGCTGTAACAAGGGAGATAGCTTTATAGTTTGTTATACCATGAAAATGCACAATTCATCTGAACAGATTTACGGCTCCGTTATCAGTAAAGCAATGCTCCGCACATCTACCAACTGAAACAGAGCATGAATAACCTTGTTCAAGGGTCACTCAGTGTCAACGCCTATTATATGCGGATGAAAACAATCTAGGACGAGCTCAAAACTTACCAACCAGCTCCAACCTGTCATTGTGAAAACATGAAGGCATGGAATGATTATCAAGAGCAAGAGTTTGTGATGATTTTTTTGATGGGTTTGAATCCTTCCTACGCTGCTGTTAGGGCTCAAATCCTGATGATGGAATGTTCGCCATCCATTTTGAAGGCTTTCTCGCTGGTGGTGCAAGAAGAATGACACCGTGCGATCGGCTTCGACACGTGCGCAGAGGCGGCTGCGGGGTCTGGTTCTTCCGTTGCCCTAACTCAAGGTCGAAGACGACCCACCCATTCACACTGTGGGCTCGGGGGCCACACTGTGGACAGGTGTTACCGTTTACATGGATACCCATCGGGCCTCAAGCCCAAGCCCAAAATGCACTCGCCTGTTTTTAATAAAGGACACGTCCAAGCCCAAGCCCAAGCCCGAAATTCATCTCAGTCTCGGCCCACTCTTGGAACCAGATCACTTAATCCATCAGGCTCTGAGTCCAAGCCCGTTTTCTCTTCTGCCCGCCAGGTCTTGGCTCATGAACAGGCTGGTATAGAGCACAGTTCTTCCTCCTTCCTTACTTATACAAAGCTTACACCTCAATATCACAACTTTATTTTTGCCATTTCCTCCCACATTGAGCCTACCACCTTCTCTGAGGCTGTTCAGTCCGACGTTCGGACGATCGCTATGAATGTGAAGCTACGTGCTTTGGAGAACAATAATACTTAGTCTGTTGTTTCCCTTCCACCTGGAAAGAAACCTGTTGATTATAAGTGGGTTTATAATGTTAAATATCAAGCCGATGGGAGCGTAGAGAGACATAAAGCCCGTTTGGTTGCTAAGGGCTACACACAACAATTTGGCATTGATTTCATTGACACTTTCTCTCCTGTTGCAAAATTGGTTACTGTAAAAATTTTGCTTTCATTGGCTACTATTCATGGTTGGAGTCTGACTCAATTAGACGTCACCAATGCTTTCCTTCATGGTGACCTTCATGAAGCAGTTTATATGAATATCCTCCAGGCTATTCTCCTCGAGAGGGGGAGACTCTTCCACATCAACCTGTTTGCTGACTACACAAGTCAATCTATGGGTTGAGACAGGCTTCCCGACAGTGGTTTCACAAATTCTCAAGAGGATTACTTCAAGAAAGTTTCCATTAGTCACAATGTGACCACTCCTTGTTTGTCAAGCATCAGGGTAATGTTTTTCTAGTATTGTTGGTGTATATTGATGATATTGTTATTGCTGGTAATGATAATCATGCCGTCGAAGAACTCAAGGTTGCATTCAAACAAAAATTTAAAAAGAAAGATTTGGGAACTCTCCGATATTTTCTTGGACTTGAAATTGCAAGAAATGACACAGGAATCACCTTATGCCAAAGAAAATATGCTTTGGATCTGTTGACTGAAACTGGGTACCTTAGTTGTAAGCCCTCATCTACTCCAATGGAACCCAATCTTAAAATATCCCAAGATGATGGAGAACCTTTGTGTGATATCACAAGTTATCGGCGACTGATTGGAAAACTATTGTACTTAACCATCATTCGTCCTGATATATGCTATCATGTCAATAGACTGAGTCAGTTCTTAGCTGCTCCCAGGACCAGTCACCTTCAGGCTGCTTTGCGGATTCTTCGGTACATCAAGAGAACACCTGGACAGGGTCTCTTCTTTCTTTCATCATTTACTATTCAGATTAAGGCTTTTTTTGATGCTGATTGGGGCACGTGTCCTGACGCTAGAAGATCTCTAACTGGTTATTGTGTTTTTCTTAGATCCTCACTAGTCTCATGGAAGATCAAAGAAACAGCAAGTTGTGTCTCGGTCATCTGCAGAAGCCGAGTATCATTCCATGGCCAATACTACATGTTAAATAATGTGGATTCTGAATTGGTTACGAGATTTAAAGGTGCAACATCAAGGTCCTGCATTGCTTTACTGTTATAATCAGGTAGCTCTACACATTGCTTCAAATCCTGTATATCATGAGAGAACAAAACATATTGAACTTGACTGTCATTTTATCCGAGAAAGAATCCAAGATGGTACCTTGAAGACAATGCATATATCCATTCAGAATCAACTGGCAGATTTAATGACAAAAGCTCTTCATCCCACACAGTTCGACAATTTATTGAACAAGATGGGTACAATAAATTTGTACTCTTCATCTTGAGGGGGAGTATTAAGATTAATTAGTAATTAGATTAGATAAAATTAGTATGTTAATTGTAACCGTTTTTTGTCTTTTCTCTTTGCCATTGTACAACAAGCTGCATATATCTTTTTTGTTGTCCATGAATACAATCAGAAAAATTAGAGCATTTTTCTCCATTGTCCTCTTTCTTCTCATTTCCAACAAAGGGGTTATCCGTTCTTTACCTGATCTGAAGAAAAAATAATAATAATGGAATGAACATAAAACGTTCAGTAAGATCAATTCAGTAATTCAGGCAATCGGTTTTGAAGTTCAGTGTAGCAAGATCAATCACCCGGCTGGTTTCGCCCATACAATGCCCATCTACCTGCATAATAGCACTCATTGTCTTCACTCACAATTTGCTTCCCAGAACAGAATCGTCTGCATATGCCTCCATCAGATTTCCCATTTCCATAACCTCCCAAAAAAAAATGCAAATACCCAGTACAGAGTAATGTAATCCAACACATAGATTTACTCTCACTTCTGATTATTTCTCACTCAGTTATTGGATTTAAACAATTCAAAATTTGTTGACAATAATATCCCCACCAAACTGTACACACAGACACACACACAGAACGACCACCTGGTGCCACGCACACACCATAATTACACAGCTAAAAATGCATATACGACGCTTCAGGTCCACTCTCTCGGCCTCGACACTGGCCCCATTCAGATTTCACAACTATCGGAAGCTTTCCCTCCATGGACCAACTGTCCGGTCCAT